CTAGTATTTTACAGGTGAGGCTTGAAAAGAGAAATTGGCCTGGCTGGAATTTAGACCAAACTTTTACATATGTCAAAAATCTGCTCTTTGCCTATCTGCTTCAAAATTGTATTGGAAATGACTGAGATCTGAATCTGGTTGATTCAGATCCTTAACTCCTTTACAGTTTCTTAACTCAAATTTTATGGTTTGAACACCATAAAATTCAAGCTCAGTGGTGATGCAGGTGTAAATTTACCAAACATGTGCTACTGATCAATTAACTTTAAAATAAGGAGAAAATATTTTGAGAAGTGATTAGGACCCCATATTAAATATAAGTATGACATGAATTCTCTAAGTTAGGTTGTACCACAGAGCTAAGTTGTCAAGCTTTCTTAATTCATGGCACCCCTAAGCCAAAAGAAACAGCTAACCATTCTGTTTATTAAGTAGGTAGGCCCTAGCAACTTAATAAATATGTATGTCCTCGCGTCTTGTAAAAACTGTTTGAAAAAGTAATACATGTAAATTGAAAGAAAAATATTTCTATTTCATTCTAAAATTATTACAGTTATTTATTAATGGAAAGCGTGCATCTGTTGGGCACTGCACAACTCTCAAAAGTTGGAATAAAATCACCTTCATTTCTTGTTCCATGTCAATTTTCAGTTGATACTTGAAGAAAGTGCTGAAAATCCAGTCTTTCAAAGATAGGGTGTCATCACAAAAAAACATTGTGAATTCTAATGTTGAAATTGTAAACTAGTTTGAGCTCATAGAAGTTTGCATGAATCTAACAGATGTTGCTGTTTCTCTCAAAAATTTAAAATATTGCATAGCACTCCTGTGAAGTCACTGAAACACCCTGGGGTGCATCAGGGTTCAGACAAGCATTTTTTCTTTTTTTAAATTTATTATTTTTTTATGGTGACATTGGTTAACAAAATCCAATAAGTTTCAGCTGTACACTTTAACAGTAAGGCATATATATTTACACCATGTGTTCGCCTCCCATAGTTAGATTTCTGTCACCACATATTTGACCCCCTTTACCTACCCCTTCCCACCTCCCCCCTACCCTCTGGTAACCACTAGTCTATAGTCCATGTCCATGAGTCTCTGTCCTGTTCATTTGTTGCTTTTAGGTTTATATCCCACATATAAGTGATATCATGTGATTTTCAACTTTTTCTGTCTGGCTTATTGAGCTTGGCATGATTATCTCGAGGTCCGTCCATGTCAGACAAGTCTTAAGAATATCTTTTTTTTCACCTTCTCTTTTCTTCTCTTCTGAAGCTCCTTTCTTTCCTTACCTTCCTTTTCTCTAAATTTTCATTTTTTTCTAGTCTGTTTCATAATGATAAAAGCTCTTGAAGTTTCATTTTAACTCATATTCTCTCCTCATGACACAATATACACTGAAATTTCCACCTGAATTGAAGCCAGTAGAAAAGCATGTTTTGAGTGGACAATATATAGAAACCTGATGATTATAGACACATTTTCCCAGCAGCGAAGCAAAGTTTTTTTTTCTTTTCAAAGAATTCTTTATATTCTCCTATTGAGTATCTTGTACTTGATGAAGCAGGGGACATGAGAGAGAGAGAGAGAGAGAGAGACAGAGAGAGACAGAGAGAGACAGAGAGACAGAGAGACAGAGAGAGAAGAGGGAGGGAGAGAAAGAGATGGAGAGAAGGAGAAAGAGAAACAGAAAGGGAGAGGGGAAAGAAAAGGAAGGGAGGAGGGGAGAAGAAGAGAGGGAAGAAGGGAGGGAGGAAGAGAAGAGGGAAAAATGAAAGGAAGAAGAAAAGACAAAATAAAGAGAATCTTGATTATCTTTTTAATAGAAAAAGTGCATCAAGTATATGCATTCTTGGAGCAGGACAACGTGGAGGGAAAGACTGGGCTCTCCCAGAGCCCAGGTATCCACATGGTCAATCCTAGATACACATCTGTAGTCACAAGTCACGTTTAGGTGGAAGACAAGGGACAAAGGAGCAGGAAGAGCATGCAGCATAAGAGCATAGGCTTTGGAGCCAGGCTGTGTTCAAGCCCTCCCTCTACAACTTAGTAGCTCTATGTCCTGTGCAAGTTGCTTAATCTAGTGAGTTTTAGATTTTTTTTTATAATAAAATGGGAGTAATAATAATACCTATCCCAAAGTTGTTTTTTCAGGACTGATTAACACTTATAAAGTACACATCATGATATGTGGCACATTCGAAGGCTAGAAAGTTAATGGTTATCAATATTATTATTAAAATAGGGCTGACCCATGGACAGGAGACAGTAGAGATAAGGTCTGTCAAAGAATGTTGAGGGTACGGAGAGGAGAAATAGTGGGGAGAATGGCAGAGTTCATGTCAACAAATGATGGCATCCAGCACCCTCATATACTGCTGGTGGGAATGTTAACTGGGACAGCCACTTAAGAAAACAGTTTGGCAGCATTTGGTAAAGCTGAGCATGTGCAAATGCCCCAACTCAGCAATTTGACTTCTAGATATATGTTAAGCATGTAAATGCTTATATATGTGTATCAAAACACATGTTTATAGTAGCATTATTCATAATAGCTAAAAAATTGGAAACGACTGTAGAATAGCGAGATATAATGTAGTATATTCATACAACATAATTCTATTCAGCAATGAAAGTGAATGTACTGCTACACAACGACCTGGATGTGACTCACAAGTAATGTTCAGCAAAGGCAGATATGAAATAGTGCATGCTATATGATGCCATTTATCTAAGTTCCTCAACAGGCAAACAATCTACAATGTTAGCAATAAGGACAATAGTTACCTTTTGGAGGGTAGAATTAATGTCTGGGAAGGTGCATGGGGAGTCTACTGGGACTGGTTACAATGTGTGTTCATGTTTTGAAAACCTATCAAGCTGTCTCCCTATGATTTAAGTACATTTTCATCTGTACGTTTTACTCAATAGTTTACCTTAAGAAAAAAATTGACCAAAGAACTGAAAAAAAATCTTGCTATAGATTGAATGTGTGTGCTCCACCCCCAAATTCATATGCGAAAACCTAATTCCCAATATAATGGTGGGAAGTAGGGTCTTAGGAAGGTGATTAGGTAGGTCATGAGGGTGGAGCCTTCATGAATGGGATTAGTGCCTTTTTAAGATGATACCTAGAGAGCTCCCTTGCCCCTTTTATCATGTGAAGATGGAGCCAGAAGGTGGCCAGCTATGAACCAGGAGATGGGCCCTCACAAGATAGCAAATCTGCCAGCACCTTGATCTTGGACTTCCCAGCCTCTAGAACTGTGAGAAATAAATTGTGGTTGTTTAAGCCACCCAGTCTATGGTATTCTGTTATAGCAGCCTGAACAGACTAAGACAGAGCTCTTCATAAGTTCTCTTTTTAGCAGAGAGGATCACATTAAAAAAAGAAAAAAAAAAAGGATTTTGGTACTAAGGGAAAACATGAAAATACAATACGAAGCACAACAGTTATGTTTACAAAGTGTAGATAAATTGTCCTAGCAAGGGTGACTCTGTATGAATCAGGATAGACCAAGGTTATACTATAATAACTCCCAAATCTCAGGGGCTTAACACAACAAAGCTCCTTTTTGTTTGAACCATATCTTACACATTCTGGCAGGGTGGTCTGCTCCTCACACTCACTCGAGGACCCAGGCTGAGGGAGGCTTCGTCCTGGAATGCGCATCCAGTTACTGAGAAAAGCCCATGTACAGTCTGCCATGTGCTCTTCTCATCCAGCAGTGAGACGAGCACATGGCAAACTGTACATGGGCTTTGAACATGTCTGTCCCAGAGAAAGACATGAGCCTTCCACTCTCATTGCACTGGCGAAAGCAGGTCACATGGTGAGGACTAATGCCAAGGAGATGTGCAGTTGCACTTTGGACAGGAAGGAGAGGAGCTGGAGAGGTGACAGCCCTACCAACGACCACACTTGCCCTTATGTCTCCCAGACTCAATTGCATTCAGAGTCCTGTCCACAGGAGAACTGTGTTGTTGACACCCACCACACCCTTCTCTCCTCCCCCTAACAGGAGGTCATGGGAGAAAAGCAAGCTGGATTTCCAAACCACGGCCCCTGTCCTCACCGATTTGCACCAATACTGTGACTGATAAGTACAATGTGCTCCCTGCTGCAGGGCAGTGGCCAATGAACTTTCTGGAACAAAGAACAGAATTGAGTTGTAGCCTAATTGGGGGTAAGTAACTGCTGGGACAGAGTGGGGAGAATCCTGTATAGTTGAAATAATCCTTCAGAATCCCTATCATGTTCAGTGAGGGAGCAGTGGGGCTGTTGGACAGCTGGGTGTATAATTCTCTTACGGCAAGAAAAAACATAGGAAAGAGAACAGTGGTGTGAAAAAACACACAGCTAGAGAAGAGGGAAAAATTAGATGAGGGGGTGAGAGGAAAAGAATGAGATCTGGGAAACCGAAAAAGTCTTTCTGTCTGCAGTTAGAGATATAGAGTTTTTCTTATGTCCTCCATAGTGTGACTCTAGGCCTTGAGTGGTATTTTCACTTCTGCTAGGTTTTTGTTAAGTATGTACCACATGGGAAACCACTCTGTTTATTAACAAAGAAATGACTGTATATATCTCAAAAAAGGAAGTGCCTGGAGGCTCCTACACTCTGCCAGTGCTTCTCCCTCTCCCTGTCCTGCTGAGCATTCAGGGTGATCCAGAGTGGAGGTTTCAGTGCAGGACTCCTGAGGGGGTACAGGCAGATCCTTTGCTTTTTAGATATGACTTCCTCTTAGATTCACATATAAGTTATGGGAGAAATGTACTAAAATTTTGGTTTCTCTTAAACTCACCGATGACGTGATTAAATTTTAATTTGGATTCCTTAAAAAACACAGAAAAGGCTGAAATATTTTGAGATAAAAGGAAGAGCTGAACAGGGGTGTGGGTATAAAGATTAAAACTATCCTATGGCAACCATAGGGCACCTCATTTCCCTGTGTGGATACAAACCAAATAACTTCTTTGAATTCTGACAGTCATACAATTTGCTTATTACATCAATTCCTTTTATTGTGAAAGAAGTCACTTCATTTAGTAAAGGCCAACGATGTCAAGTAGAAATAAACATTTGATGTCATTGATCAAAAATGTCAGAAAAGGGGCACAGCGTGTTTTAGATAAATCCAGTTTTTTGAAAGTTTATGGGCACATGGGTGATTACTCATACGTCCTTTTGCTGACAGACTCTGCCTGTGCATTCCAAAAGAATTCAAAGGTCTAAAAATAGGTTTCGATATAAACTTTTCAGGAACACATCTGCTGTACAAAATAAGATGTTTGTAGCACTGGGTCTCCAAACAAAGTATGAAGAGGAAGATGCATTCAGTAATGTTTATTAAAGATTGAAAATTCTTCCCACATAAGGAAAAGGTGACCAGACCCACTGTATGATTAGGTTCTGACTGGAAGATTGGAGATTTAAAGAAGATGCAACCACTTGCATTTTTTGCTAAAAATAAACCAAAAGGAGCTTAATTTAAAAGATATGCTATGACAGCTGTTATTAGTTTTTAGGTCAAATAACCAATGAGCCCAACCCCATGTGGGACAGGATGAACCTCATTAAAGTGTGGCTGAAGACGAGGCAGTGAGACCAGCATAAATTACCGTCCTTTGAGAACCAATGTGGTCACTTTCCTGTTCATTGAATATTTTAATTAGGAATTTATTCTTCTCTACAGATGCTTCATTTAGTTGTGTTTTAATTATAGATCTTGACAAAAAAAGCAAAAAGAAGAGCAAACAGAGCCAGGCCCACAGACATCTTCAGTGCACAGTCTTGATGTAGCCTTTGCAATTGGAGCACCATTCTGGAACTTGCTGAATCTCGTTGAGTTGCAGCGGAGCTGTGGGATATTGAGCTCAGGTGATTCCCAAGCCTATTTCTGAATTCCTATAAAGAGAGAAAGATAGAGGGGAAAAAAATAATTTTGAAATACAAAGAAAACTCTATTGTGGTATCGATCAAGTAATGAGTCTCTAGAAGGAACCTTTTTTATTGAGATGTAATTGACATATAACATTGTGTTAGTTTCAGGTATACAACATAATCATTCGATGTTTTTTACATACTGTGAAATGATCACCACCATAAATCCAGTTAACATCCATCACCACATATACTTACAAATTTATTTTTCTTGTGGTGAGAAGTTTTAAGATCTACTCTCTTAGCAACTTTTAAATATACAATGTAGTATTATTAACTATAGTTACAATGCTATACATTAGATCCTTAGTACTTATTTTTTTAACTGGAAGTTTGTACTTTTTGACCCCCTTCACCCATTTTGCCCATCTCCCAACTCTCCATCTCTGGCAACCACCAATCTGTTCTCTGCATGTATGAGTTCAGTATTTTTGTCTTTCTCCTTTGTTTTTTTAGATTCCACATATAAGTGAGTTCATACAGTATTTTCTTTGTTGGATTTATTTCACTTAGTGTAATGCCCTCAAGGTCCACCCGTGTCATCATAAATGACAAGAATTCCTTCTTTTTTATGGCTGAGTAACCCTGTATTTTGCACACACACACACATCTTTATCTATGCATCCATCAATGGACACTTAGGTTGCTTCCATGTCTTGGCTATTATAAATAATGCAATAAACAGGGGGATGCATATATCTTTTCAAGTTAGTGTTTTCATATCCTTTGGATAAATGCCCAGAAATGGACTAGCTTCATAATGTAGTATGCTGTTTTGAAATTTTTGAGGTACCACCATGCTGTTTTCTATAGTGGCTGCACCAATTTACATTTCCACCAACAGTGCACAAGGGTTTCCTTTTCACAATATCCTTCACAAGACTTATTATATCTCATCTTTTTAATAACAGTCATTCTAACAGGTGTGAGGTAATAGTTCATTGTGGTATTGATTTTCATTTCTCTCATGATGAGTGATGTTGAACATCTGTGCCTATACCTGTTAGCCATTTGTATGTCTTCTTTGGAAAAATGTCTATTTAGATCCTCTCCTCATTTTTGGATTTTTTTTTTTTTTTTGCTATTGAGTTGACTTCTTTACATATTTTGGATATTAATCCCTTATCAGATATCAGGTACATAATTTGCAAATATTTTCTCCCATTCAGAAAAGGTTGCTTTTTCATTTTGTTGATCATTTCCTTTTCAGTGCAGAAGCTTGTTAGTTTGATGTAAGAGGGAGCTATCATTTATTTACTCCTTCAGCAGAGGCACATTCAAATACCCACAATGGGCCAGGTGGCCCCAGTTGGGTATAAGTCACAGTTCCTTTCCTCAAAGGGTCAGACCAAGTTCATAATTTACCAGATTAGACAGTAACTATATGAGACACACAGTGTTCATGGAGGATCAAGGCAGAATTCATGAAGGGTAGAATTTACAGTCAAGTGGAGTCATACCACAAATGTATCCAGCTTTCAGGGATACAAGCATATGAACTCAGTGGAAAAAAAATGACGGAAAAAAACCCATGGAAGCCATTTTATTCAGTGAACATATCCCTTAGGACAGAGATTTCCACCTGGGCCACTGTTGCACAAAGTCTGCTTCAATCCTCAGGGGAGCCGGAAGGGGTCTGGCTAGCTAGAGGTATCCACTTCCCACATGCAATCCTTCCATTTACCCTGGCGTGCCATGCAATTACTATTATTTTCTCTGTGGAAAAGGTTGGGAAACCCTTCTTGAAGGGAGCATGAGAAACTAGGAGACATGACTGCATTACTTTTTGGTAGTCTCTGTTCCCTGACGCTTTTTTGTGGGTGTGCGGAGAAGAGGAGGGAAACCTGGCCACTCTCAGGGTGGTTCTGGTGTTTCAAAGTGTAATTTTGATTCCATTATTTAAGATTTCCACCTTATGTACAGGCTTTAAAATCGGTGCCTGCCCAGTTGGAACCTGAATAACACGCTGAGAGCCAGGGGTGGGAGTGGGAAGGGAAATACTGCACGGAAGGAACATTGCGGGAGGTGGGAGGATGGGGGCAACGCAGAGGCAGTACGTCACAAGGCATGTCTGTGGGAGAATAAGAAATCCACAGAAACACAAAATGTCTTTGAACAACCATTTCACTTATCTTATTCTTCCCTTCCGAGCTTTCTAACAACCTCCTGGTGACACCTTTGGCCTCTGTGTCCCAAGAGGGGAGTTGCAGCTCACCGTGCACAGAAGCACTGGAACTGCACTTTACAGAGGTAACTCTGGCAGGAATTCGGAGGGTGGGTTGAGGGGAGTGAAGAGAACGGGGCAGAGAATCCAGTGGTGAGTTGTGGCAATAGAAGAGGTGGGAGACGATGATGGCAGAATCATGGAAAGAGAACAACAGATTTTTGATGTAGAATCAACAAGATGTGAGTTCAGACATGTGGCTGATGAGAGGTACAAAGAATAGGAATGGGGAAATAAAGATGACTTTTACAACCCAATTTTCACCTGCTAATGTTTACATGTGATAAATGCGGAAGAATTCTTGCTTTGACTGTAGGAGACTAATTGCAAAATTAATAAAGCTGTTAACCGCCAAGGGTAAGTCTCTCAGCCCGATGGCAACCAAATTATTATTATTTCTGTGCTCCTCAGGTACCTGGGCCTCAGGACGCCCTGCTGTGAACCCTCAGCCAGGAGGCCCACAGCTGGACAGACAGAGCCAGCTTCCCTGAGGCAGGGGGCCGGGGCGGGGGCTCAGTGCTGTGCCTCCATCCGCCCGAGTCCTGGGAGACCGCTGTCTTACGAGACTGGCTTTCTGCATGATATTTTGGAACTGGGACTATGTTGACAAGCTTTCATTTCAATTGATTAAAAATAACCTTGAGGTCTCATGGTCAGCACTCATATGGATATAGCAGCTTTGGGAAAGAATGCGATCCTTCAGCTAAAATGACAGAGGCTGTGTGAGCTTCTCAAAAGCAATGAGGCTGCATAACTCACCTCTGGATTCTTGGAACCGGCACAGCTGCAGAGGAGGTACTCATTATGTGCTTAGAAATGAATAAATGAGTGAATGAATAAATGAATATGAGGGTGTGTATTTCAGATGAGATATGACCGATCAAAAACATGGCTATCTATGTCTCTGGTGATCGATGTGTCCAGTGATATATTCAGGGCACTTTTCTACATGAGTCATGAGTTGCCATCTCTAGCAATTAAACCATAACTTCTTCAGTTTGGGTTTATAAGACCAGAACTAAAAGGCTGATCGATTTCCCCTACGTCCGAATTTAACATTTTTGGGTCATACACGGCTTTGAGAAGCTGATGAAGATGACAGACAGTTCCCCAGAGAAAAACGTGCCTATGATATATGCACAAACGCTACACTCACACTTCTGCACAGGACTTTAGGATGGTCACAGACACCCTCACCCAGGAGTGGATCCAGGTATTGTGGGGCATAAAGTTTTCTCTTTATGAAAAAAATGTATATATGAATACAAAATTAGGTAGAGGGCCTTGGAAGGGGCCCCTCAAAGTGTGAGGCCCTGAAACTTAAGCTCTATTGGCTTCGGGGAAAATCCTCCTCTGCCCCACCCCTGGTTCAGAATGCTGACCTGGGTTCTGTGCCTGTGGTTCAAGAAGCTGCCACCTGGTGATCACAGGTGCCAGGCCAGGAGTCAGGCTGAACCGGGCAGGCCTGGGGGAGTCTTAAAGCATTAAGCAGTTGGTTGTTACATTCTGCTTCACAAAGCTGCAGTACAGGTACCCTGCCTGCGCTCTCAGCTGGAAAAAAAACCCCTTCAGCACTTGATGAGAGTTTCACAAAATTTCTTCATCTCCTTTCTACTCATTTGCCATAAGATTTTGCTCAAAATGTAGGTTACCTACTAAACTACCATAGTGGATTATCTGTGGTTGTGTCCAACTTAGTCATTCTTTTCCTTGGGCACTGATTTTTTTCCCGCCTCGCTTCTCCAACATTTAACACATTTGAACATAACTGACCCAAAAAAGTATCCTGGTGCTGAGCCTCTCTCCTGTTCCTAGTGGATGACTCTGAATCTCAGAATCATATGGAGAGCAGCAGCATGCATATGCAGCCACAAGAAGCCCATCTGACCTGCCACTCTCCTCAAGATCAAGGTGGGAGCCTGACAACAGAGGAGAGGGAAAATGTAGTCTGTCTCCAGCGCACTTTCTTTTATTACTTCATCTTTTGCCAATTCAAGATCTTGATTAAAGGAGTTTCAGGATATGTTTTAAAATATAAGGTTGAAAAAAAGTTTCTCAGACGACAGTTTTCAGCAGGCAGCTAGCTTTGTACATTTCAATTGTCACTGCCACTGTGATACTGAAGGAAAAGTAATTTAGAAATACAAGAAACACAAGGATTTTCTCATAAAGTCCAATACACTCAAACATCTAAACGTACAACTAGAGCAGATTTCCATACAGTTAGAAGCAGCTTTTGTGAATAGAAAATAATGCAGCATTCCCATAATGTAATGAAAATAAAAAGTGCTTTTGGTAAAGAGATGATAAATAACCAACAGTAAAATAAAAATTTACACACACACACACACACACACACACACACACACACACACACACACACACACAACATATATAATAATATATAAATGACTTTAGAGAAAAATTTAGTATGGTAATAGTTCTGGAAAGTAAACAAAAGGCTCAGATCTTCTCTAAACCTCCTAAACATTATCAAAATTATTAATTCCTGAAATTCAAGATGCACTTGTATCTCTCACACTATCGCACACCAAATGTGAGATTTTTTTTGCTTAATATAACCAAACAGCCATCAACTCTCACACTTGTAATCTTTAAAAAATTGAATTTCATTTAGAAATGCCGTTTTCAAAACAGAAATTTGAAACAAGGATATGACTTTTGTTCAGTCAAAAAGATCCATGTATTTATTGAGTGATAGGAGACTCAGGATACACTG